CTGTGTTGCTCTCCACTGACAGCAGCAAAAATCGGCAGAGGAAGTACAGGAACAGCGTCATCGAGCAGCTGCTTATATTGTCGATTGAGTCGGTGCATCGTGATATACCTCTACACTTTCGGAGGCGTTCCTATTTTTTTTTACCACATCCCCTCCTTCCTAGCATATAAATTTCTGCTTCCTGACCTCTGCTTTCTTATTTCTATTATTTTCTCTTTTAACGATAGTGATTTTGGTTGCCCGAACCACGATACATTTGTCTTCTCTCTCTGTGGGCAAATAACTAGTTCTTGAGCCGAGCTAGGACGTTGTTACCATATAACTGAGCGTTTCTGATTGCCCTTCGGCTGTTTACATTATGGGAGGGTCAATCACAGGTCTGCGAGTCGAACTATGGTTGTGGCATGGTGATGGAGGAGTTTGAGGAATAGGGAGGACAGCTCAGTATTGTGTATTAAGCGTCGGTGGATTTTTGGCGTGCGTTAGGTTTTGTGGTGAGGGTTGATTTAGCTGTCTGTCACTGTAGTGATAGGATTTGAAGAAACTGTGATGTTAAATGTATCATATGATGAGATATGACTTTGCTCGACATGGTGAAACAATGGATTCTCTCTCTGCTTGCTGTGTTCCTTGACTTGACTGTGTATAGTGTTTAGGACTTACGTGAATGGCTGTATCTCGAGAATCTCTACTCAATGTTGTATGCGTCTGCTATAGAGAGTACTGCGCAATTATTTATGAAAAAAGACAACAGGAAATAGTATAGAAATTTTCATGAAGTAGACATATTATAGCAGGATATTGTGAAAGCAATCCAAGATATATTATTTTGACATTGGCGCGTTTTATTAATTAATTTTGCAGTTATCACACAGATCTGATCATTATCATCATATTTCTTTTTTATTTCTTTTCATAGTTAACTGTGTTCGTTGTTATAGTACTTTTAATAAGAAGAAAGTTAGTGTTTATTTGGTAATTGCCTAAACAATAAAAACTCAAATTTTGAAAAAGATATAAACAAATCTACCAAAAAATGAAGGGTGAATTTGTGCATTAGGATCAAATGCCAAGAAATGGTAAGGACAGGATTGGTAATATCATCCAAATAAACAAGAAACAAACAGGGACACAAAAAAAACACCAGGATCAACCAGAGAAATACATTTAAACAAGATAGATGAATAAGTATTGAAACTAATAATAAACATGATACGATAACGGAGATGATGGAACTTTCAAAAAATGGTAGTTACAAACAAATGGAAGTGTACCGTATGTACACCCATTGAAGAAGAGACAACAAGACATAAAGAATTCTAATTCCACATTTAGTAATTGGGAATGATTAATAGTAGTGAAGCAGGTTAGTTTGGTACATGTTATCAAAAGCCTCTTTAACTTAAAAAAAGAATCATGAATATATAGTTTTGGAAAATACTTGTTATATATTCTAAGGTTACGGATAGTGGTATTAATATATTGATTTACAAAAAGAGAAATTAGAATTGTGATGTTAATATCAATCATATATCAGATCCGTGGTCCTAAAATATTAATTGGTGTGAAAATGTATATATACATAGGATATGTAAACAAAGAATGACAGCAGCAATAAGGAAATACCTGGGGATGTTTACAATTGAAGAGCAAGGTGATGAAAAATGGAAGGTAGTAGTAACTTATAAGGAGTTCAAGATAAGAAAGTAAAAATAATAAATATAAAAATAAAAGGGAATAAAGAATCTTACACAGATCATGGGGTAAAATATAAGTATTACTGATGATCACTGGGTATACAGTTATAGATGTTAAGGAAAAAAGGTAAGGAGTACGGAAGAATGGAATGAGATGTTCATCAATTATTTGTGGGTTCAAGTACAAAAGGGTGAAGGACATAAAAGTATGAATGGGGAGGAATTGGAGGGAAAGATACAAAAGGGTAGAGAGCAGCAGGAAGATGATGAGTATACACATGGGAAAACCTGCTTTTGAGAAATGCCAGAAGGCCAACACTGATATTCCTATGAGATAAAATGCGAAGAGTTGGATCAGATATAAGACAAATAACACAGTGTAACCAGGGTTCACCAAGATCCTTTAAAGAGGAAGGGAACTGTACCACGACAAGTATTCATGATTTCACCCATCAATGAGTGTTCAACGGTTTCCTGTGCCTTTCATGTCCCATCTGACCTTCATCAGCCCTCCGGAGTCAACTCTGCGGCAAAAACAAAACAAAATCCCGCTTGCACAAAGTCTTCCAAAGCAAACCTAATAATCAGCCCACCAGAGTGCTGTGGACAAGGCCTTAGAGAGTCAACAAGGACACCTGGACTTGTTCCTCCGCTTCCTCCTGGGTCTTTCACTGCAGACCAATCAGAATCTCCTACGAGGTCTGCTGACACAGACAGGAAGTAGCTCACAGACCAATCAGAAAACAGTCCAGTACATCAAGAAGAAGATCAGTGAGAGTCTCTCTGCAGAGAAAAGCATCAATCTCTTCCACTGTCTGAATGA